GCGCGGCCTGCGGCGCAGCTCGGTGGCGAGCGCGGCCACGTCGGTCTCGGGCGCCTCCGCGTCCGCCGCGCGCCGGCGGCGCACGCTGCTGGACCCGTCGCCGACGCGTGCGAGCGACGGGGGCAGCGCCAGCGATACCAGTGTGCGCGATGCAGTGCGCCGCTCACGCGACGTGCGTGTCCTGCCGCCGCTCCTCGGCCCCGCGCCGATCATGCCCGACATGGACAGCCCGCGGTCGCTCAGCCAGCGCGGGTCCACGACGGATCTGGCGAGTATGGGCCGCCGACGCAGCTCGATGCTCTCTACGAGCCTGCAAGCGACCAGCCCGCGGCGTGCGGGCCTCGGCTGGAGCGCGTTTTCGCACGCGCAGCCGCTGCCCCGGCCGCTGGAGCGGGCGTCGCCGCCCGAGGCGCCCGCCCGCACATGGAGCTACGAGCAGCAGCCGGGCATGCGCATGTACCCGATCATGCAGCTGCCGAGCGCGCCCGTGCACGACACGTACAGCCACTACTGGCCGCCTGCGGTGGCGTCGACGCCGCAGTCGGCGCAGTCGGACACTGCGGCGCGGCGCAAGTCACTGTTTCATTTTGATGGGTAGGGACAAGACATGGAGCTAGGCATCCGTCTCGCGCAGCCAGCCGCGCAGCAGCAGGGCCTCGACCTCGTCGCGCCGCACATAGAGCCGCTCGCCGGCGCGCAGGTGCAGCGTGCCGCGCTCCGTCTCGACGCTGTGCGCGTCGCGCGTGACGACCACCGAGATCATCAGGTCGTCGGGCGGGCGCACCGCGTTCGGCGGCGTCGGCGTCGCGTACGCCGCGGCAGCGCGCGCATCAAAGTGGCCGCCGAGCGCCGCGCGCGCACGCGCAGGCTCGGCAGCCGCGGCGCCCGTGGCCAGCGGCAGCGTCACGTCCAGCACGTCCAGGTACGCGTCCTTGTACAGGCCGACGAGCGCCGCGTAGCTGCGCAGCCACTCGAGCTCCGCGGGCTCGAGCAGCGGGCGGATCGAGCGCGCGTCCTGCGGGCTGTCCTCGTCCAGCACGAGCGCCACGGCGCCCGCCTTGTCCCAGACGCGGGCGCGCAGCCAGTCGAGCCGCTGCCGATGGTACGCGAGCAGACACCGCTTG